GTTGAAGGTGGGAGAGAAGAATTAGCCCCAGCTCTTTTGTAGTATGTCAGAGCCTGCCCAATCTGTTGAACAATTTCCTCCTAACGTTTCCTGCAGTTGTTACTGCCAGTTTAGCCCACGTAATTGGGTGGATGGTAGCTTACATTCAGTGCTAGCTGCTGCTGTTGTTTTGGTTTGTTTTTTCTTTTAAGCAACAATTGCTTAACGCTGGCTGTATGAGCATTGCCATCAGCCCTACTGTGAGAGCTGAACTAATATCAATATCTGTGGGAAACTTTTCGAGAAAATTGTAAGTGGAGTGGAAGCAAAAAATTACTACAGGTAATAGTCTGGGAGAACACGGGGAGTGGAGAAATACAGGGTAAGATGAAAGAAGCATGAAAAAAACGAGTCTCTTAGGTTTCCTGCTTCCCTCGGCACCCATGGAACAGAGTGACTGAAACAGCCTAGTTTTGTTTTAAAATAGGACAGAGTTCTTCTAAGATAGAAAAGATGTATCTGACAAGAAATGGAAGCAAAAATGAGGAATAAGTTCCTGTCAGATAAGTGTTTTGTTTTTATTCCTGGAGATTTGGGACTAGCTTTATAATTCTCCAGTGATTGCTTTGCAAGCTTCTTGGAAGGAAAGAGAAGTAGTTGGAAGCTAAATCATAGAGTGTTTTGAAAGAGAGGGAGCTTAACTTTTATGCAGAGATATGCAAGCCAAAATGAGGAAGTAGAGGAGGAAGATGGAATTGAAAACCAGCATTTCAGGCTAGTTAATGAAAGGGAGTGCTGAGAGCTGGGGAGGAGGTGTACATGCTAGCAAGTGTATGGCATAATTAACAAATTGGACTAAACATTTGGAATAAATAGTTTCTATATGTTTTCTTGTATTACAAAAACACATCTAAACTTTTTTTCCAGCTAACACAGCTCATGTCACATACCTAGATTTAAAAAAGCCTACAGTTTAAGCATTAAATAAATGTACGTGTTTCTGAAGTAGGTATTTTCAACAGAGATACAAAGCATAAATGTGGATTTAGGACCTGAACTCTAGCTCTTGAATATCTCCTTTTGTGACTTTTATTACCCGCCATAAAAGAATGATTCATGAATTCCCTCTTTCTTCTCATTGTCCTTTGTGAATTATAAAGAAGTCACTTCTTTGCCGTGGTTCTTAATTGCTGTGTAGTTGATGAAAATAATTGGCAAAGGCAAATATTTTGCCCAGAACATTGGAGCTGAGTAGGACTCTGAAACTAAGCTTTGCTTACCTGCTGAGAGACAGGTCAATGTTTATTATCAAACAGGAGGTATACATTTTGACACCACATAAACAGAAGTTACTAGTCTTCTGTTACAGCTGTGTGCTTTAACAGCTAGCTCTGCAGTAGCTATTGAAGAGTAGCTAAAGATAAGATTAAAAGTCATCAGTTCAAAGTTCAGAAGAGATCATTACCTTCAAGGACAGAAACAGCAAATTTGTTAGCCACTGCTTTATACCAGAAGCACTTCACTTGTACTGACAATTAATCTTGTATTGTAAGTGAAGTAGAGTGAAGTAGGTAAGGCCAATTACAAGGTAATAGAGTGCCATGTTTCCTATCTGAGTTCATACACTCGTTTGGCATGGCTGCCCACTGAAAATGTAAAGCTGTTGCAGCATACATCTTTATTAAACAAAATGCCCGGGTCTCTTCCTGTAATTCTTGTATTAGGCAGATAATGAAATGAGTTTTGTAAATGTTTTAAGTATTTGAATTAAAGCAAACTATTCAGTACTGAAATGATTTTTCATTAAAATTATAGTAAACAGTTTTTGCATCATTTTGCATGGGTTCTGCTTTTCTTCAGCGTATGAGAAGAATTTTAGAATGAGGGTTTGAACAAGTTAACCCAACTTTCAAGGCCAGTCAGACATCTTAAGAAAAGTTATGGATAAAATCTCAGGAAGCTTCCTCTCCCTTCTCCCTATGTTTCAAGCATAGCCTGAAGCTTCTGGTGCCCATACTATGTTAACGGTGTGCATAATCTCTCATTTCAATTTTTTCCCCTTTTCTGAGTACATAATTCTGCCTATGCTTGTAGAAAAACAAATGTAGAACTCTTACTCCCTTTCACTTTGGAAAATGTAGTTGAATTGAACCTGGTTTTACAAGAAAATAATATCTTATTACTTCTGTCAATAGTCCTAGCTCTGAATAGTGTGTTGCTTGTCATGTGTAAATCTTAAGCTATGATACTGAAAGCCTTTGAGATATTACATACAGAAGTTCAAAATTTCCAATTATTTTACGGTAGTCTCTCAGAATTGTACTGCTTTTTTTTCCCCTACAAGTGTAAATCTATAATTAGAGGAGAACCTGGAAAAAATCATAAAGAAAATGGCACAGTATGTATAATCTTAAGTAGGACAAACATTTTTTTATATACCATGAATCTATTCTCCTAGTTGAAAAATCTGTCTGCATATGTTTCTCGACAGTGTGAAATTTCTGTTACATAGGTAAAATGCCGCCTTTTCAAATGCAAGTAAATTCTCACTGCTAGTAGGCAAGTTACTTGATTATTTTATTTTTGTCATCTTTTAGTGTTGTCTTAGGTCTTTTAGCATATGTTTCTGAATCTCATTAGGAAAAGCAAGTTTTAAAACCACATCTGAAGAATTATGAATGCAAAAGGAAATGGTAGTCCTACCAAATTTCGTCAGCAATTCTTCTGTAAAACTACATGTAGTTAAGAGAGGAGAAGGTGAACTTGGCTTTTCACAGCAACTTTATATGTGTCTGTTTAAACAAGCAGTGCTGTCATTTCTGCTACTAAGAATTTCCGAAAAAACAAAATCACCTCTTGAGATTGATAAACAGCAATAGATTAAATAATGAGTGATGTGCTTAACGGGGTACAGTTTAAATAGAGAAAATCTAATGGGAAGTAGCTACATTAGTAGCAGATGGATTTGCTTCCTGAATCTCAATCTGAGTGGAAATCCTAACTTAAACTTTGTCTTTCAGATTCTCAGCCTGATAAGAAAGGTGGATAAAGCAATTCATTTACTTGGCTTCAGTGCTGTGCTGATGTGTTTTGTTTAAACTTGCTATTGTTGTTTGATTTTTATCTAGGCTATTTTTATGATTCCTACAAATCCCCCTCCAACCTTCCGGAAGCCAGAGCTCTGGTCTGATGAATTCACAGATTTTGTGAAGAAATGCTTAGTGAAAAATCCTGAACAAAGAGCTACAGCAACACAGCTGCTACAGGTCAGTATTTAAGTTACTGAGGAAATACATGTTTTATGGCTTTTTTCCTCTAGTCTCAAACAAGAACTGTTGTGAACATTTCTAAGGGCAAATCTCATTTTAACTATTATCATGCCTTATTTCTTTTGCATTTTGTGGTCTTTTCTCTGTCAGCTCCTGTATCTCTACCCCCACTTTATATCTCCTTTGCTGCTTCTAAAAATTAATTGGTCTTTACACAGTTTAGGGCTGGTTCTTGCTGTTAAAATAGGATCCTTGCTTCGTGGTTAGAGGCCCTCAATAGATCTCAGGATTTAGGCAAGTGTTAAGTAGAGGAATTGAGCCCAGGTTACCCTTCAGTGTGGACCACCCACGGAGTATATTAAATCTTTCCTTCTGGTCATGTCAAATTAAGCAGACACATTGCTCTGTGTCTTAGAAGGGTCTGATGCAGATGGACAGTGTAATGAGTTTGTTCTTGGGCTGAGTTATACCAAGTGGGCACTTCTAAATTTGAGCCACAGTTGGTGGTGTGGACCTATGGAGCCAGGGCAGGGTGTGTCAGGCTTTTGCCTGCTCGCTGGCCTGAGCTTCCAGTAGCTGCAGAAATTTAACAGTTGCATCTTTTTGGTACTGAGAGAGAAATAAAGCAGAGAAATTTCAAAGAACTACAAAAATCAAACAGGAGGGACTGATCTATCAAGAAAGATTTAGTCTTTGTGAAATGGACATAATTTTACAGGGGCCACACATTTTTGATGTGTGTGGGAGAAAGAAAACGCAAAGAAAGTTTTCTCTTTTGGCCCGGTATTTGTGTTATCCACTGCCTTTGGGGCTGTCATAATAAGCCTACAAGTAACTAATGAAAAACAAAAAACAAAGGTAGTGAAAGTCGTGGGGGGGGAGGGGATTTCTAGAAAAATTATAATAGGTTCCATGATGATTGAAATGGAATCTAAAATTCCCTGTAAATAAGCTTGTTTTGATAATGAGACAGAAGTGAAAAATTTTGCTAGGTCCTTTGCTCCTTTTTACTTTTCTGATTCCTAATTCATTAAACTTTTGGATAATTTAGTGTTCTTCTATGCTTTTCACTGCTATTGGTAAATGCTATTCTTAATTTTCTTTGTTCATCAGTCTACATAAGAATCTGATCTGAAATTTCCTCTGTAAGACGCTCATGCTAGATTTATTCTGTCTCTAGCTAGCAATACCCTCTTTTAAAATTTAAATTCCGGTGAACTCCACTACAAGGAGAACATAAAAATGTTGCAAAGTAGTTTCCAGTAATAAATCATCAAATTCATAAGTCATGTTATGAATATTTTATTTTCCACACTGTGACAACACCAAAATGTAGACTGCAAGGAGAGTAAAAATTGAAAGTTTTAGATTTTTGTGTGATGTATGAATCAGTACTTGAGACCTTAAAGATTTGAAGTTCGTATGGTTAGCTGAATACCGGCAGCTGGGTAGAAGAGACTTGCATTGATGTGTGCAAGTAGGGGGCGGGGAGCTTCAGTGTTCCTCCTTCCACGCGCTTACTGGCCAGCAAACCAAATACTGGGTCCAGCACAAGTACATGTTGCCTTTTCCCCCAGTTGGAATTCGGAGCATGTGTGATGGAGCTGAGGTGCTGTGTGTGTGTGTGAGTGGGAATGAAAGTACTGCTTGTGGGGAAAGATTATGGAGGAAAAAGGAGAGTAATTGAATTAAAACATCAAGGGAGAAGATAGATAATAGTTGTAGGACACTAGGCTTCATCAAGTCTGTTCTTTGTGGAGCAATTTTTTAATATTTAATAATACATTTCTGAGGTGCTTAGAATTACGTTTTGCCTAAATTGTATTTGTGTATAATGATGCAAAAACCAGAATTTTTCTAACAACAGGTGTTTACTAGACAGCAAAACGAAGGTAAAAAGGTATTGTGCACACATTGTCTTAAAGGAAGAAGTGATGTTTTAAATGGCCTTGAGTTAAAAATTAATCTTCTTGCTAAAAGTAATGGTTTTTTTTTGCTTGTTCCACATTTCACCATTATAGGTCAAGAAATGTTTTATGACATATAAAGTACAGGTTTGTTGAAGTAGGCAGCCATAGTTGCTCCGCTTACAGCCACTAATTTATGCTGGCAGTTTGTTAAGATTAATTAAATGCCGTAACTGAATATCTGAAAAAGTTTGTTTTCCTATGTCAGACAATCACCACTCTATTTATTTACTGCTTACTGCACACTTCCTTTGGACAATTATATCCTTAACTGTAAAACAGTCGTTATGATTACATTTCCCAAGGCTTGCTGTTATTAAACTAGTTAAAGTAAAATCCTAGTTATGAAGCAGCTAAAAGTTATTGTATGTTGTGTTAGTGTAGATTTCAGTTATTGTGTAATGTAAAATACTATTTATCACTGAAATCTGTGGTATTGAATAATACTTGTAATTACATCTGAAGCATAACTATTATAATGATGTTATATAATTGAATGATTTTTTTTTTCCTAGCATACATTTATTAAGAATGCCAAGCCGGTTTCAATTTTAAGGGACCTGATCACTGAAGCTATGGAGATAAAGGCAAAGCGACATGAGGAACAGCAGAGAGAACTAGAAGAGGAGGAAGAAAATTCGGTGTGTACCTCTTTTTTCCTATAACTATCTGTACTTTATAGACGAGTTGCTGGTTTTCCCCTACTTCCTGTACTTGTGTTAAAATATTTTTCTTTAACAGGTTTCTACCTGGTTTTTAGCCTATGAGGGCTGAGTATTCCACTCTTATTTATGAATAATGCTGCTGTGAGTAATGCCGTATGAGTCAGCTTTCAGCCCTATTCCATGAGATGTCCTAGTAAAAAGTTTTTCTAGGTGGTGGGAAAAAAAAACATGTCAACTTCAGTTGTTCAGACTAACATAAAAAAAAAAAAAAAAAAACCAACCAACAAAAAACCCCCAAACAAAAACTGTTAAGATTCCACTTTCATGTATGGGCTTCTAGACAAGTGGTTTAATTTTCAGTTCAGGGCACTTAGCGCTTTTTTTTTTTTAAGTCTAATACACAGAATAGTTAGTTATGAAGCACAGTAAGTAGTGATTACAATATGGTTTGAATCAAGTTGCGCCTATAAAGTGAAAATGATGACAGTGTTTCATTCTTCAGATGACGTTGTCAGCATATGTTTAAGGAGAGAAGCAGGTCATGTGATAAATAGGTTGCATTTAGAATTGTTTGGCAATGTTAGGAATAAGTCAGTGTTCCTGGCATTATTACTCTCCCTACATGATTTATTTTAGGGCAGTATTGTGCAATACAGCAGTATGTGCTTCAAAGAAGTGTATTGCCACACATACAATGAGAGCCAAGGTCATTCAGGAATAACACACAGAGAAGATGGAGACTGGAATGTTAGTAGAAATCTTACAGCCTTGAGCAAACAGAGAAGAGCAGTGCAGTAATGCAGTCTGCCCTATCCCAAATTGTAGAATCCTTGTTACGTGTAACAGAGTGTTAGGTGATGATCTATATATAGGAATAGTTTTCAAGCAGATTCTGTGGAGTATTTTGTATCCCAACAGACAGTATGGTCTTTTGTTTGCTGGATATTTTCCTGTTCTAAGAGTATTGGTAGCTTGTGTTTATAAAGATGGTTTACTATGGATTGTATTTGCTTAGTAAGTAATAAAACAGGCAAGGAAGGTTGGGATTATTATTTTTCTTTTTTTACATTAGGAAATGTTGCCTATGTGGAGGTGTGTGACTTGACATGCAGAGTTGGTGTTTTTGACTTGATATATTGAATAGTTGATCTCTGAAGAGACTGATTTATTACTGACATAAAAACCTAATGTCTTTACTAGCATGCTTTCCTCCCTACTACTGCCTTCTGAACTATAGACCTCAAACACCTGGGTGTTGTTGATGTCTTTTGCGTTAACCCAAAATTAGGTATGACATCTAATTACTTAGTCTGAGGTTCGGATGGGGAATCAGATTGCCAGGCAGGGACAAAACAATCCATGCCAGCTCAGTATGTGGTGTACACCTTCCCTTTCCCACTACTGGGTGGGAAGGGTACAACAGAAGTTTGGTCCACGTCAACTGAAGAAGTATTTAGCAACTCCTCATGCTTCTTGCATGGGTACAAAAGTCAGAATGCAACACTGCACTTTTTTTTCTCTCCCAAATAACAGGAATCTGTTGTTTGTGTTACCATTGCAGTAGATGGGAATTTTGCCATGTACTTATGTGGTGCAGTCAGGGAACAGGTTATGAGTTAAAAAGACAGTGAGAGTCTGCTTGTCACCAAGCGTAAAAGATAGGTGCCTCAAATCTGAAAATAACAGAAGTATCTTTGGTTAGCAGGGCTGAGAGAACAGAATCACAGGATGGTTGAGGTTGGAAGGGACCCCTGGAGGTCATCTGGTCCAACCACCCTTACTCAAGCAGGGCCACGTAGAGATGGTTGCTCAGGACCATGTCCACGTGGCTTTTGAATGTCTCCAAGGAGGGAAACTCCACAACCTCCCTGGGCAGCTTGTGCCAATGCTTGATCATCCTCACAGTAAAAAAAGTGTTTCCTGATGTTCAGAGGGAACTTCCTGTGTTTCAGTATGTGTCCCTTGCCTCTGGTCCTGTCACTGGGCACCACTGAAAAGAGCCTGGCTCCATCCTCTCTGCACCTTCCCTTCAGATATTTGTACACATTGATGAGGTCCCCCTTGAGCTTTCTCTTCTTCAGGCTGAACAGCCCCAGCTCTCTCAGCCTCTCCTCATAGGAGAGATGCTCCAGTCCCTTAATCATCTTTATGGCCCTTTGTTGGACTCTCTCCGGTATGCCCATGTCTCCCTTGTACTGGGGAGCCCAGAAGTGGACCCAGCACTCCAGGTGTGGCCTCACCAGTGCTGAGCAGAGGGGAAGGATCACCTCCCTGCACCTGCTGGCAACACTTTGTCTAATGCAGCCCAGGATACCATTAGCCACCTTTGCTACAAGGTTGTATTACTCTTAAAAATAAGTGTAGTTGTAGTCTATGGAAATGCTAAGCCTGTCATTTTTTACTTATGCTAACAGAATTTTAGAGGCTGTAATCATATACCAGTGCATGAGCATCAAGAAACCCAGAACCAGAAGTCAGCCTCCGCTTGAAAGAAATTGCTCTTAAATATAAGGCAGAAGGTCAGTGTGGATAACAGAGGGGCACAGGCAGAGGAGATAAAAGATTAGTCGGCATGGGAAGCTCTGGCATTAGCATACATTGCTAAATTTTTTTTTCAGGATCATGATGTAGAGGAGTTTTAAAGGACAATAATGATAGTCTTGCGGAGGGCTAGAGGCAGCCCTGCCAGTAGCTGGGTTGCTAAGAAAGGAATAAAAGGGTTTGAAAACTTAAGAGGTGAGTACTGGAAGAGGCCAGTTTGAGGTGAAGCTGACTTCTGAGTACAGAATGAAATGATAGATAGAAAGGGGGCTTGTGAATGAGACTAGTCAGCTCAGAAAAGAAAGGTAGTAGAAAAATGAAGAGTATGACTTCAGCATAATGAGAGACAGAAGGGGAGAAGTTGGAAAATGAACCTTTGTGGCTCTGTTACCTAGAGTGGAGGGATCACTAGATGAGACTTTAAGATGACAAATAGGCAAGAAGGATGAGAGAGTCTGGATGAAAACTTCAGCAATATGGACATTTTGAAAAGGAGGGTATGTTTGTTAGGGCAAGCCCTTTGTACTGCTGTACTTGTAAAAGACTTCAGAATTATTTTTAAAAAATAATAAAATACATTGAACATGCACATTATGCTGTATAGTATCCTTTGAGTTAATTATTTGAGTTCTTTTAGAAATAGTTTTATCATCCTATGTCTTGTACTCCTTTTTAGTTTTCTATGGTGATGCTGACTTACAGGCTATAGTTGATTAACTAAAATTAATAGATAATACCAAATGATGTTTGCAGGAGATGTTAAGAGAGGTGGATCCTGGATATTGAGTGCATAATATATTGCATTTGGACATAATTACATAAGGCCTTGCAGTTGCATTTTTGAGCTAAGTAGTTTGCTTCCTCAGAAAGATAAGCTATCTGCCTCTATGGGTCTATTTTAATGCAAAGTAAACTTTGTGAAGGATGGACTTAAAGTGACATTGAAGGTAGGCTGAATACAAAGCACAAAAGAGATTAATGCAAACTATCCCTTAATATTTTAGAGCATAAGAAGACAAGTTTAAGAGTTGAAATAGGTGGTTACTGCATATTGCTAAGGGGTGGTAACTGCTTGAACTACACGTTCTAAGTCTGCTTAACAGGTTATTCTGTTTTCTTTGGGGAAAATACAGAAAGGTTAATCCTTACAATCTGTTTTGCTTGCTGTGAGAGAGGTCCAGTAGTAGACTAGGCTACAGAAATAGTCTGTAGTCAAATTCATTGTGGGCTAAGGTAAGTCAGGCTGTCTTGTATTTGCTACAGACCTATATGCGCCTTTGAAGTGACAGTAATTCAGCGGATGTGTTTGTAATACCATGGTAAGGTGATTGAGAGTTTAACTAGTTCTCCAGCAAAGGCCAGCTTTGCTCATAGCAGAGAAAATGGATTTTTTTTTTTTTAAAATAGTTTGTGTCATTCTTGTAAACTTCAGCAGGGGGAAGGAATGCTCTTTGAGCTTGGGGGAAGTTCCAAATGTAGAAGAAGACCACATGCAAAGGTTAAGAAGATATGCCACTTGTAAGTGGAGCAAACAAAAGGGAAGTACTAGCTGGTGCTGCTGGCAAAGTGCGAAGTGGCACTTGTCAGTGTGATAATTTCGTATTTTTTTATCCTGATCATGGATAGATAAATTTCATTACTCCTGGAGATTACTCTGGAGAGGTCTTGTGCCTTTTCTCCCTTTAGCTCCATCAGCTTTATTGAAGGAAGACTATAAGCCACCATGTATTTACTACTGCAAAAATATCTTGTAATAGACAAGAGGATGTTCAGGTATTTTTGCTGTAAGGTTTATATTGAATAGTTGAACTTTTGAAAAAGCTTGCCATTATAAAAAGATTAAGTAAAAAGGGATTTTTGTTCCTACTTTTAAAAAGATTTTTGTTTGTGATCTTTTATGCAGTTGAGATGTTTTAGTTCCCTAAGCTTTCATATGGTTTTATGATTCTAAAAACTAATCTGTGATAAGGTTTGTAATTAGGATTAAATTTTTACTTCTGTTGAAACTGTTAATGTGATATTTGGTAGTAAGTATGACTTTTACTATTAGTAAATATATGCCTTTAATAATTTTGTATTGCTTGGTAAGCCTTGAGGTTAAAAAAAGTTTGGAAATACTTAGCTTTAATAGAAAAAGTGAGGGTACAAGTGAGTGAAATGAAGAATACTGACGGTGAGGTGAGGAGGGATCTCCTTGTTGACAAACACAGTTTGTTGAAACTCCATGTTTGGTAGGGACCTATGAATAGCTTTCATGTTGTCACAATGCAGAACTAATCTTATTCCGAACTGGTTTTAATAATTGTTTGGTTGTAATACAGACTTTCCATGTCTTGCAACTGAATTTCAATGCAGTACATGGTTGTAAGAAATCCAGATTCATTTGAGAGATGACACCAGCATCTTGTCCATTTGCAGTCACAAAAGATTCTGAT